CTACTCAGGAGGCTGACGCAGGAGAATCGCTTGAACCTGGGAGGCCGAGGTTGTGGTGAGCCGAGATGATGCCACTGCACTCCAGCCTGGGTGACAGACTGGAGTGTAAAAGTTAGCGGTCTGACTCCATCTCCAGAAAAAAAAAAAAAAAGTCTAGCCCCTCATTCTGATAACTAGCTCCAGGAAGTTTGGTGAGTGCAGTTTCATCCCTGACTTGCAGTCTGCCTGCCATCCACTTGTCTCCTCCAGATCAGCCTCGAAGTTACTGATTTATTTTTAAGAAAGCACCTCAGATCTCTTGTGTTCTTCCAGCCTCCCCTGAGAGGAACTGTGCTAGCATGAGCTCATCTTCCTGACTCTCCAGAAGGATGCAGTGGGCCAGGAAAAGGCAGTTGTCGATCCACCCTGTCAACCCTTTTTCTCTCGTCCGCCTGCTGGTCCTCTCTCTAACACTTCATCTTCAACACTGTATTTTATTTCTTGGGCACATCAGATCTAAATTGTTCTGGGGGGTCTCGCTGGGTCAGGCTGGACATATCAGCAAGTGAAGAAAAGCTCACGAGATACTGAGCCTCCAGTACCTCAACCCTAACCCAACCAGGCCCTAATCACGCAGAAGAGTGCAGTGACTGGCTGGGCACAGTGGCTCACGCCTGTAATCCCAGCATTTTGGGAGGTTGAGGTGGGCAGATCACCTGAGGTCAGGAGATTGGGACCATCCTGGTCAACATGAAAACCTGTCTCTACTAAAAATACAAAAATTAGAGTTTTTTCTGGGGGTGGTGGCATATGCCTGTAATTCCAGCTACTCAGGAGGCTGAGACACAAGTATCCCTTGAACTTGGGAGATGGAGGTTGCAGTGAACTGAGATCATGCCACTGCATTCCAGCCTGACAGAGCGAGACTCTGTCTCAAGGAAAAAAAAAAAAAACCCAGTGCAGTGACCGACTCCTCTAATGACGACCAGCTGGTCCCCAGCACAGACATGGGAAGACAGCTAACTTTTACACTCATCTAGCCCAAGGGGCTTGTCACCTGGCGCCCCCAGGAAGAAGACGATGCTTACTCCAGAGCTGACAAAGGCATTAAAGAACGCTGCAGGTGGGAAGGACTTCACCTCCCTCCTGCTCCCCTGGGCAAAGCCCCACTTCCTCCATGTGCTCCCAGCAGGTCCCCACAAGCTGCCACTGCTTCCAGAGCTGCAGCCTAGGGCTTCTCACACTTCGCCCCGCAGGACCTTGCTAGAGGGCAGATTCTGCTTCGGCAGCTCTGGCCTGGGACCAGAGCATTTCTTTTCTCTCTTTTTTTTTGAGATGGAGTTTCACTCTTGTTACCCAGGCTGGAGTGCGGTGGTGCGATCTTGGCTCACTGCAACCTCTGCCTCCAGGGTTCAAGTGATCCTCCTGTCTCATCCTCCCAAGTAGCTGGGACTACAGTTGTGCACCACCATGTCCAGCTAATTTTAGTATTTTTAGCAGACACGGGGTTTTGCCATGTTGGTCAAGTTGGTCTCAAACTCTTGACCTGTTGATCCACCTGCCTCAGCCTCCCAAAGTGCTGGGATTACAGGCGTGAGCCACCGCGCCCAGCCTGGACCAGAGCATTTCTAAGAAGCTCCCAGGGGTGCCACGGCTGCTGATCTCTGTACCACACTTTGAGTAGTGAGAGACTCTTTCTGTGGTTCCCATTCCTGACTGTATATTCCACTCATCTTGGGAGCATTTTACGAACACTAAGGCCCAGGCCAACGAGGATCTCTGTGATGCTAACCATGGTCTTCTGGTCGCCACATAGCCTCGAGCTGAGAGACAGAGCAGCTGCCTGGAAACCCCAGAAGTTCCAGCTACATAAATCTGAACTGCAACTATAAGTGATAACCAGCCTTCATCCAAGAGAGTCCAGAATTAATTCTCGGCCTCCCAGGCTCTGTTTCAACCAGAATAGGGAACATCCTCTTGTCTGAGCCAATCTGCCCTTCCCAGCCTTCCGGAGCCCTCCCACTGTGCCTGCCTTCCAGAACTCATTGAATCTCCTCAGGAAAGCCCCCTGAAGTCTATGTAGATGCAAAGGGACAGAGAAGTGCCCCCAAAAGCAGGGGAGGACCCACAGACTTGGCCACTGATGGGATCATCACAGACAAGCCTGCCTTCGGCCTCTAATGTATGTCAATTACCACATTAGAACCGCTGCTCACAGGTGCATTGTAGAAGACTGACTGATTAACAGACCCTTAGCGTCATATGTCAGCCACTGTTTTATACACTTTTCAAATAGTGACTCCTTCAATCTTTGTAACAATTCCATCAGATAAGTACAATTAGGCTGGGTGCAGTGGCTCATGCCTGTAATCCCAGCACTTTTGGAGGCCGAGGTGGGAGGATTGCTTGAGACCACGAGTTCAAGACCAGCCTGGGCAACATGGCAAAACCCTGTCTCTACCATAATAATAATACAAAAAATTCACCAGGCTTGTTGGCATATGCCTGTAGTACCAGCAGCTTGGGAGGCTGAGGTAGGAGGATCGCTTGCTGGGAGACAGAGGCTGCAGTGAGCTGAGATCGCACAGAAGCACTCCAGCCTGGGTGACAGAGCAAGACTCTGTCTCAAAAAAAAAAAAAAGAAAAGAAAAAAAATCTACGATTATATCCCAGTTTTATAGATGAAGAAACTGAGGAACACAGAGGTGAAATGACTTGTCCCAGTCACCACCAGTAAGTGGCTGTGGTGGGTTAAATTGTGTCCTCTGCCCTGAAATTCACATATTGGAGTACTAACCCCTAATACCTCAAAATGTAACCTTATTTGGAAAGAGGGTCTTTTGGGTGGGCCTTAATCCAATATGACTGGTCTCCTTATAAAAAAGAAAAATGAGGGTGGGGGCCGGGCATGGTGGCTCATGCCTATAATCCCAGCACTTCGGGAGGCTGAGGTGGGCAGATCACCTGAGGTCGGGAATTCGACACCAGTCTGACCAACATGGAGAAACTCCATCTCTACCAAAAATACAAAATTAGCCGGTGTGGTGGTGCATGCCTGTAATCCCAGCTACTCAGGAGGCTGAGGCAAGAAAATCACTTGAACCGGGAGGCAGAGGTTGCGATGAGCCAAGATCGCCCCATTGCACTTCAGCCTGGGCAACAAGAGAAAAACTCCATCTCAAAAAAAGAAAAAAAAAATGGGGTTGGAGTGGGGGATTCAACCCGGAAACGGAAAACCACCAGGGGCTGGGGAGAGGCCTGGACAGGGACTCCCACAGGCATCAGAAAAAGCCCCCCTCACCAACACTGGCTCAGACTTCAGTGCTCCACACCTCGAGGAAGTGCATTCCGGGGGCTTGTCACACCCACCTCGTCTGTGGCATCTCATTAGGACAGGCCCTGGCAAACTAACGCAGCGGCAGAGCTAGGACTCAGACCCCAGCCGTCTCAGGCCAGCACGGTAGCCCTCACCACTCCATGGCAGCAGGCAGTGGCTTTGAGTCCCGCTCACAGGGACCCGCTCCATCCTTCTTTCACTCCCCCGCTCTTTCTCACTTCACTTCATTTTCTCCAATTTCACCATTTCTCCGTTTCCTCATTTCTTTCCATCCACGCTAGCTATCTACTGTTTTGTTTTGTGTAACAAAAACAAAATGACTTCAAGCTTCAAACACGATCTCGCACCTTCTGTGGGTCAAAAATCGGCGCACTTGGCTGGGTGCCTCTGGCTCCAGGAGGCTTCAAGGTTAAGGTCAAGCTGCCGTCGCTGTGGTTGCAACATCCCAGGACTCCGCCAGGACTGAAGGCTCTGCTTGCAAGCTCCCTCCGCGGCCGGGGACGGTTTAGGTCCTCTTGACTGTGGGCTCAAGGGCCTTGGTCCTCTGTTCTCAGTAACTGTGTGAGCCTCTTCATAGGGCTGCTCCCTAAAAGGCAGCCTGCCTTCCCCAGCCGGAGTGATGCAAAAGGTAAAGGGTTAGGGGTGAAGACAGGGAGCGGGTACCCTGCATGCCAGCCAGTCTTTTTAAAACCTAATCTTGGAAACTATACCCCATTGCTTCTGCTGTACTCTTTGTTAGAACAAAGTCAAGTTCAGCCCACATTCAAGGGAAGCGGTTACCCAGGGTGCAAATACCAGGAATGTGGGGCTCACCAGGGGCCTCTAAAAGGCTGCCGACCTCACCATCCCCCTGTGTCTATGTGCTTGTGGCTGACCCTTGCTGGCCGCAGGGGTAGGGGAGCGTGGGCTGTGGATCTGTGGTCTGTGTGAGCATGGTGAGCCCCAAACCACCCTGGGATAAAGCCACGTGATGCCAGAGGGAGCCAAGCTGCTCTCAAAGCGACATTCGTCTCCTGTCTCTAAAGTCTTTTATTTGCTGTAAGAATATAGCACAAAACACCAACGCATTAGCAAACGTTCCCGAGGACACTTCAGCTGCAAGAAACAACATTTCCTGCATATCCTGAGAAGCAGCTTTTAACTCATCAGAGAGAAAATAAGCTCTGGCCAAAGGCTTCCAGTCCAAAGGCACACCCCACCCACCAAAGGGCGTTAAGCATGCTTATTTATTATTTATTTATTTTGAGATGGAGTCTCACTTTGTTGCCCAGGCTGAAGTGCAGTGGTGTGATCTCCACTCACTGTAACCTCCACCTCCAAGTTCCAGCGATTCTCATGCTTCAGCGTCCTGAGTAGCTGAAACTACAGGTGTGTGCCACTACACCTGGCTATTTTTTTTTTTTTTTTTTTTTTTTGTATTTGTAGTAGAGACAGGGCTTCATGTTCGTCAGGCTGGTCTTGAACTCCTGACCTCAGGTGATCCTCCCACCTGGGCCTCCCAAAGTGCTGGGATTACAGGTATGAGCCATGGCACCCAGCCTGAGTGCCTTTTCAAAGAACACGTGGGTTCTGATGCTCCACAGGGAGGTGGGAACTGAGTTCTACCCAGCAGTGAATGACTCTGAGAGCCATGGATGAAACCCAGGCACAGACGCTGCCAGTTAGACTGAATTTCCCTGAGGAGGAGCAGGGACGCTCACAGGCAAAAGGTGCAGCTGGACCCAATAGAGGTGACCCCACCCTCCCCTGCGCATGCGCAAAGGGGTTGGCAGCGCCTGAAGTCCCCCACCCCCACCCCCGACCGAGGGAGTCATCACCCAGCCCTGAGGCAGCCTGGGAGGTACGTGGGAACGGTCTGCCCTTCATCTCCGCTTGCACTCAGAAAGATGGGGCTGAGAGAGGAAACCAGCGGCCACGCAACCTGACAAGACAAGAATTGGCAGCAGAAGCCCGGCCAAGCAGAGGGCTGGAAGGGAAACTAGAAGAAAAATGCAAACTAAGTGTTCCCTGAGGCTTCCTGGGCTAGTCGTGGATATAGTGTAGCCTACAGGAGGTCAGCGCAAAGACACGGGGCGGACTAGGCTGTCTCTTCCTCATGATGTTCACGGCCAGATATCCAGCTCCCAATCCTCTGACCACCCTCAAACCCAGGCTAAGCAGGTGAGAAACTTGGGCCTCTCCACTCGTCTCTCCTCCGCCTTCACACGTGAGGCCTTTTTTATTCAACAAAAATCTCTGGGCCAGGCACAGTGTCTCAGGCCTGTAATCCCAGCACTTTGGGAGGCCAAGGAGGGAGGATCACTTGAGCCCAGGAGTTAAAGACCAGCCTGGGCAACATAGTGAGACCCTCCTGTCTCTACAAAAAAATAATTTAATCATTAGCCAGGTGTGGTAGTGTGTGCCTGTAGTCCCAGCTACCAAGGAGTCTGAGGTAGGAAAATCTCTTGAGCCCGGGAGATTGAGGCTGCAGTGAGCTGTGATCATACCACTGCACTCCGGTCTAGGCAACACGAGATTCTCCTGTCTCATAACAACAACAAAAAAACCACCCAGCCCAGGTACGGTGGCTCATGCCTGTAATCCCAGAACTTTGGGAGGACAAGGCAGGCAGGTTACCTGATGTCAGCAGTTCGAGACCAGCCTGGTCAACATGGTGAAACCCTGTCTAAGGGAATGCTTTACGTTTTTGCCCATTCACTATGATATTGGCTGTGGGTTTGTCAGAAATAGCTTTTATTATTTTGAGATACATTCTGTCGATACCTAGTTTATTGAGGGTTTTTAGCATAAAGGGCTGTTGAATTTTGTCAAGGCCTTCTCTGCATCTATTGAGATAATCATGTGGTTTTGTCTTTGGTTCTGTTTATGTGATGGATTACATTTATTGATTTGCATATGTTGAACAAGCATCCCTGAGATGAAGCCTATTTGATCATGATACTAGAAATAAAGAAATTAGCCAGGTGTGGTGCGCATACCTGTAACCGCAGCTGCTCCAGAGGCTGAGGCAGGAGAATTGCTTGAGCTTGGGAGGTGGAGGTTGCAGCGAGCCTAGAAGGCACCACCGCACTCCAGTCGGGCCAACAGAGCAAGACTCTGTCAAGAAAACAAAACTGGCTGGGTGCTGTGGCTCACACTTATAATCCTGGCACTTTGGGAGGCCAAGGTGGGTGGATCGCTTGAGGCCAGGAGTTCAAGACCAGCCTGGCCAACATGGTGAAACCCCAACTCTACTGAAAATACAAAAATTAGCCAGGCGCGGTGTTGGGTGCCTGTAGTCCCAGCTAGTCCGGAGGCTGAGGCATGAGAATTGCTGGAACCCAGGAGGTGGAGATTGCAGTGATCCAAGATAACGCCACTGCACTCCAGCCTGGACGAAAGAGCAAGACTTAGCCTCAAAGCAAGGAAAAAAAAAATCTGAGGACCTCCAATGTGTCAGGCCCTGTCCTAGGCACTGAGGATGGATACCGAAGTGGGGAACACACACGCTCATCCCCCACTTCACTTCAAGTCTTCCAGGCTTTTTCCATGTGTTGGAGCTATAGACACCATCAGACGAGCTGGACGTTGCAAAGATTGTTTCCAGGTTGAAGCAGCAAGTGAGTTTTCTACTTTCCAGAGGAAGGCGGTACCAAGCAGCCTTTCCATGAATCTCTCCCCAGACACCCCACACAGGCGCTCAGGTTAGAGTGCCCGGAGAGGCCTGTTGCAACACTGTCTGGGACCCTCCAACCCCAGACATTATCCAGCCATGTCTCATCACAAGCCAGAAACTCCCCGTGCTCCTCAAGCTGTCCCTCCCCAACATCAGCCACAGAGTGGGAGGCTGGAGACTGGGTGGTGGTCACGGATGTGCCACTAACGAGCTCTGTGATCTTGCAAAGTTCATTCAAACCCTGTTCTTCTGTGTCTGGCTCATATAATGAGGGGTTTGACAAGAAGATCCCCCGGGTACCTACTTGTTCTTTAAAACACTCTGGCACCCAGACCCAGCCCAAGTTCCAGGTATCAACTGCACTGAGCTCCAATACCCCTGCTGCATTTTGCTCTTTGCCTGCAAAAGGGTGTTGCTATGTTGGCCATACCCTGTTTGCTTCCTGAGCAACATGGAGAATAGTCTCCGTTGAATCTGTGAATTTCAGGTTTTCTCGGAGTTGGATCTCAGCCTGGAGCAGGGAAGAGCGTGAGGTAAAATGGTTCGAGTCATCCTGAAATGCACATTTCCTGCAGTTTCTTTCCAAGTCTGGTGTTAAATGAGCAAGCTCAAATGAGAACATTAACAAGGATGACTCAGGCTTCGGGAGTGTTGGTAGCACAAAACTGGCTGTGAATAATGGCAGTGAAGGGACTTTTCTGACCCATTTGTTGACAAAAGGTGGTAAAAGGCGTTAATCTAGTTCAGGGATATCTAAACGTTTTTATTGTGCATCCTTATGATAAAATAGTTTTGAACATGTGTGTACTCTGAATATATGAATATTTATATTTCTGGAAATTATAGGCATATACTACACCTACTTATGAACATAGAAAACATATGCAAAGAAAGAAAATTAGAAGGACAAGACCAAGATAAAAGACACTCTGTTCAATAACACAAAATGTTTATCTTTGTTAATGTGATCTTGGGTTTTGTTATTTTTTTAAATTGTGATTTAAGAGTTTGTATGCCAGATGTGGTGGCTCATGACTGTAATCCCAGCACTTTGGGAGGCCGAGGCAGGTGGATCACGAGGTCAAGAGATCGAGACCATCCTGGCCAACATGGTGAAATCCCTTCTCTACTAAAAATACAAACATCAACTGGGCATGGTGGCGCGTGCCTGTAGTCTCAGCTACTCGGGAGGCTGAGGCAGGAGAATCACTTGAAGCTGAGCCAAGATCATGCCACTGCACTCCAGCCTGGCAACAGAGCAAGAATCCATCTCAAAAAAAAAAAAAAGAGTTTGTAATACAGCAATTTGAAAACCTAATTTTAAGTCTAGTTTACCTAAACTCTTTCTTTTTTCTTTTTTTTAAAGAGACGGGGTTGCTGTGTCACTCAGGATGTAGCATAGTGGTGCAGCCATAGATCACTGCAGCCCACAATCCTGGGCTCAAGTGATTCTCCCACCTCAGCCTCCTGAATAACTGAGATTACAGGTGTGCACCACCACACCAGCTGCCTTCTTGGTTTTAAAGTGCCGTTGTAACTGAAAAAGTTATAATGCAAAAATACATAGATCTAAATGAACAAAGTCTATTTTGGAGGTGCTTTTCATCAGGGACATGAGCAAATGCAAACTGGAAACTGACAAGGTTGAAGGTAGGGATTTCACAGGTACTTCTTCCTTCTTTCCCATCTCCTCCTCCTCCCCTTCCTGCCAAGGATCTTTGTACCCTTCTAAATTGTGTTACAGAAACTGGTGACTATGACCCTTGTTCAAACAGTTACCCCAAAGACCCTATTTCTCTGTAGCACAATGAGTTAATGTTTATATTATCTCTGAATAAAGACTTAAATGTTTTGAAAACTCACAAGTGAATGGAACATATATGCTAATGCCTTTATTTTGGTTAGGCAGTCTTAGGAGCTTGCAGCTTCAGACTGCTGAGCCCTGGTTCCCAAAGTCGTGATGAATATGGCCCCTTTTCATGGAACACAGCATCCTAGTGATTGGAACTAAGAAACAACACTGTCCAAAAAGTTTTCAAAATAAATTATCAAAGTGCATCCACACATCTTTGTAATAATTGAGTAATAGTAATACATGTATGTGGTATTTTTCTTTGTTTCTTTCCATTTTTTTTTTTAGAGATGGGGTCTTGCTGTGTTGCCCAGGGTTGTCTCGAACTTCTGGACTCAAGCCATCTTCCTTCCTCTGCCCCCCAAGAGGCTGGGATTGCAGGCACATGCCAACATGGTAAAACCCCGTCTTTACTAAAAATACAAAAATTAGCTGGGCATGGTGGCACACGCCTATAGTCCCAGCTACTTGGGAGGCTGAGGCAGGAGAATCACTTGAACCTGAGCCGAGATCGTGCCACTGAACTTCAGCCTGGCAACAGAGTATATGCCAGGCTTGTGTGTGATATATTTCATCAATCCTCAGATAAGGCTTGGGATACTTAGGGATTAGGCAACCCTGGCGACCGCTCTACAACTGTAGACCACACCAAGGTGTCCTAAAGATGCTCCCCTAGTGGGAGGGAAAGGACCTGGGAATGAATATCCAGACCTCTTAGGGATTGTTTTGAAAACTCAAACCTGTTACTTGGTGACCAACCTTATACTAACCTAAGAGCCATATGGTAAGGTAGGCATGGTGAAACTGTCAATCTTTTTCCAGCTCCAATCTGCATGATGATTGATGCTTGTGACCTGGTAGGCCAAAAGGGAAATGAGAGAAAATGAAGAGATGCAGATAAAATGCTTACACAGTAAGAGACGCATCTGCAGGGTAACTGAGGTGCCAGGATGTCGGCTAGTGTGGTGCTTCTAAACTTAAACCTGTATGGGAAACACCTGTGTATCCTAATAAAATGCAGATTATGACTCAACAGGTCTGGGCTGGGACCTGACATTCTGCATTTCCTTTTTTTTTTTTTTGAGATGGAGTCTCTCTCTGTCACCCAGGCTGGAGTGTATTGGCACAATCTCAGCTCACTGCAACCTCTACCTCCCAAGTTCAAGCAATTCTCCTGCCTCAGCCTCTTGAGTAGCTGGGATTACAGGCGTGCACCACCATGCCCAGCTAATTTTTGTGTTTTTCGTAGAGATGGGATTTCACCATATTGGTCAGGCTGGTCTTGAACTCCTGATCTCGGGATCTGCCTGCCTCAGCCTCCCAAAGTGTTGGGATTACAGGCATGAGCCACCAAGCCTGGCCAACATTCTGCATTTCTAGAAACTCCCAGGAGATGCAGATGCTGCTGGTTCAAGACCATATGCCCTGAGTAAAGAGGCTGTAGCCCAGGTGCATTCTCAGTTGGGGTCCAGTCTGGCTTAAGCCTGTCTCATTTTGCTGACAGTAGCCAACAGGTGTGAGATCTAAGCAGAGGCTAGCTCTGGAGAGCTACAGGGAGTGGCTAATGATTGGCTGCCTAGCCAACTTGCGGCACCTCGGTGTCACTTCCAGCCTAATGGCATGGCACCTTTGTGTTAAGAGTCTTTCAGTCCC